GATGCTAGTTAGTCAAGCAGGGCCTCTCATGGGAAGCAGTTTGGGTGCGGCCTCTTCAAATTTCAGTTCCTAGTAACACATGTCCAAGAACTAAAATTTTACTGGTCCTTGGAGCTGGGCTGCCGTGAGTCACCGGCGACTGCGTAGGCTGCAGCCCTTGCTGCAGTGGGCTGCCGTGAGCTACCATGAATGGCTGGCAGCCAGCGTAAGCGGCTGGCCACCGGTGTGAGCTGTCAAGAGCTGCTGTGAGCGGCCATCCAATGGCTGGTGAGCGACTGCCTTATCCGGAAAGAGCACAATGATAACATACCAACATGGGCCAGAGAAGCAACATCCTCCAGAACTAGACTGAAGAACAAAAGGATAGCAACTTGTCTGTTCCCCTCCTCCAACTCCCCAATTAATTAAAAAAAAAAAATTGCTTGTCTTCCCAGGGACAAATTGTCTTGGGGGGACAGACTTATGCCAAGTGAATGAATGCATGAATACCAACCTTTCAAGGGACCACCGGACAAATCAGAATACCAATGTTTTAACTTACCATGGAGATGGCTGTAATAGAAATACAATTTCAATGGCTGGTTATTTGCCTACTAGTTCAAGAGTCACTTCTTCACAATACAAGGCACTAAATTCATTAATAGAACAGTCCTTCAGGAGCTTATCATTAGAGTTTAGGGAAATAGATGGTTTTCAGGCTATGGAAACATCAAATAAACCATTTTGTCTCACAGAGGAGTAATCCCACCCTTATAATAAAATCCTTTTATCTCCTGTTGGTCCGCTCTGGGTAAACACTCTTAAGTTCTTACTCTTCACCTCTTTTAAATGCCTCCTGCCGACTAACTTTTTGTTCCATCAGCACTTCAAGCAGTCATGTTACAGTAAGGTTGACTAGATTGTAGATTTTACATTCCGTTCCTGGGGATACATTTTCCTTAACTTGATTGAACTTGGATGTTTCCCAAAGCTTCATACACTTTACACAATATCTCTTTCAGTGGCTGCCTGCTACAATCTCCATTTCAGTGGTTCTTGAACTTGAGCATAGGGATCGCTGGGGAAATTTGTTAAAAGTGCAGATTTTCAAGTTTGACCTCCACAGATTCAGATAAAATAGATCTGGGGATTGGGCTTTGAGACCTATATTCTTAGCTCTTACCCACAGTTATAGAAACATCACGTATGTGTGAATTCTTAGCAGTTTCATTTCCAAGGACAACTTTACTCCTAAAATCTATGGTATTCTAAATACCAATAATAAAACAGAGATTTGGTTTAAAAACCTTGGGAAGTTTCAGTACCCATAACCCATTTTTAAAAGTTCAAATTTTTACAATTAACTCCTGCTTTTATTTTCTTTGCCAAAATACTCTGGGGAAGCTGTGGTTATGTTGGCCGTGCAGAAAGAAAGTTCTCTTTGTTCCAGAATGTCTTGAACATCCACTTCTCCTTCACTGCTCTGGTTCAAAACTTCCTCATCTCTCCTCTGGACAATCGCAGATTTCTTCAGGCTCTCTCACCCCATCCCCCTCTCCTTGGGTGCAAGTTGCTGGTGGAGGTGATGGTAGCTATTGTAGGATTTGGGGGAGAGGGAATACTATGGTCAGAGCATCTTAGAGAAGTCATTCTGACAGAATGGGAGATGGATTCGATGGAGTTATCAGAGTCTCCAGGGAGTGAATGTAGTTAAGAAAGAAAGGAAGGAAGGAAGGAAGGAAGGGAGGGAGGGAGGGAGGGAGGAAGGAAGGAAGGAAGGGCAAAAGCTAGCATTATAATGAAGTATTTGGAAAATCGGGGAATTTCCTATTTCTTTTGTAATATAGTTTGTTGAATGTAATGCTTGAACAAATAGAAGCAATAGAAAAGGTCCGGATTTTCTGGGGCATGGTCCCACCTTTTGCCATTGTCAAAGCTGTGTACTGTGTTCCAGCATATACTTGAGGTGGGGTGTCTTTGCACATACTGTTTGCCTTTCCTGGATGCTGTCTCACTTTTAACATTTACTGAGTACCTTTTATGTGCCCTGATTGTGACATGAAGATACAGTGGTCAACAAGATTAAATTGTTCCCTTTCCTGATAGGACTTACAATTTAATGGGGTTGGGGAATGAGATATCAAATAAAAACCCATACAATAGTCAAATGGTAGTTGGGGAAAGTGTTAAGAAAAGTGCTGTGAGTGGATAGAAAAGGAGACCTAACCTAATCTAGAAGGTCAGGAAAATTCCACCTAAGGGAATGACTTTTCAGCTGAGACCTGAAGACTTGGTAGGAATTAACTGGAAAATTGGGGAGTTGGGAAAATGATGTTTATTTTGGTTAGGGGCAACACTTTCTCCTTAGGGTTTGAAGCAAGGAGGAATAATCAAGAAATTCAAAGAAGGTCTATGTGATTGGAGGTCTGTGTAATTGGAGGTTAGTGAACCAGAGAGAGAGGCAGCAACTGGGATGTAGGACAGGTAGGCAGAAGCCTTACAGTTTACAGCGATGCATTTGCACTTTATCCAGAAGCAATGGGAAGTTACTGAGGGAGTTTAACAGTAAGGGTGAGGAGTGTGGTTACATGTTCAGACTAATATTTGAAAACAGCGCCTTTGGCTGTTTGTGGCTAAAGCACTATAGGATACAAGGTAGAAAGCAGTAGACTAAACAGCTATTTTATAGACTCATTAGATGGTTAGTTCAGGGCAGAGATGATGGTGACCTGGACCAGGGTGTTAGGACCAAACATGGAGAGGACTGACTGGATTGAAGAATTGTTTTGTAGCTTGAATTGGTAGGATTTAGTGAGAGATGGATTAGACGAGGCGTGTGAAAGAAATGGAGATGTCAAGGATGACGCCTAGATTCCTGGATTGAATGTGGGGAATAGTCGTTTTTATTGAGATTGCAGAGGGTGCCAGAGGAGCAAGTTTGGAGGGAAAGATTTAAAAGCTGTTTTGGAAGTTCTTTCTCTGTGGATTCTTGTTCTTTACCTTAGAAGCTCCCACTTCCACAAGATTCTTCTCAAAATTGCCCTCCTATAAAATCACTGTAAAGGTCTTTTTGCCCCCATCTCTCATAGGACAGTAAATTGTGCTTTTGTGTCACGAGGTAAAGTCTTCTCTTAGTACTTACCTCTCTGTTTTATAATTATGTACTTGCCTATCTCTCTTACCAGACTTGATTTCTTTGTCATGGATTTCCAAATAACTCTTATTTGTTTGGTGTTCCTGGAATGTGAATAAATATTTCTTCAAGTGTTTTCCACTGAGTTATGCATGTTAAAGATTTCTTTATCTTAAATCCAGGTAATGCTGGATTAATTTATTTTACTGCAGAACTTTCACCAGGCTTTGGCATTCTAATGTGGATTATGAATGTCTGAGAAGGGTGTAAAGTGTGCAGTATTTTCCAGTGTTATTTAGTTCTCCCTCCCCCACACCAATTTTGTTTTCTGAGCAGCTCATGTTATTAGGGTTGAGGGTAATAGGTAGGGATAGGAACGTTCTGTGGGAAATGCTGATTGGGGCATGTGCCTGTCACAGAGTAGGCACATTAATTAATTCACTGAGTGTGGACTACGTGAAAAGCAAACCTGACGGCCGTGGGAGAACTTCTCTGGATGTCTTTGGGAAGTTCGTTTTGCCTATGGTTGCTGCAGATCTATTTTTTCCCCCAATAATCAAAACAGACATCAAGAGATGAGAATTTACTGTCTATTGTTTGTTCCTGCCAGACTAAACAAGCTAGGTGACATGAGGTGACAAATTTTGTTCTGTTTCTTTGTTAGCTAAGCTGGAAAGAGCTGAACAAAAAATTCTTTGGTCCTTTTATTTATTAACTCCCAACATCAAAACAGTGCCTTTCTTCTACCACCTGGGTTGTTCATAAAATAAACAGAGTTATATTAGTAGCTATTTTTTTGTAAAAGAAATAAATGTTCAGTATTTTTCGAAGGCTATTTATATTTGGTTTCAGAGAGTTGGCTGTAGTGACGCAGAGCCGGGGTTTCAGGGAAATAAAGACAGGATAGACTAAATGGGGAAGACACTGTTCTTTTTTTGAAAAGTGTGTGAATTTATTTTAGAGGGATTTTTTTTTTTCAAAAGTAAGAGTGCTCAAGACAGTTCGTTTTTGGAGTGGAACCTAGTGGAAAGTTTTACCGGGAACTAACTGACTCAAACAGGAAATATATTTGTTTTTAAACTTAGGTTTTATTTCGTAATGCCAGATGGCATCATTGTGTTACATTTATTCAGACTATTAACTGCTAGTGTCTTTTCTTATAGTCATGTGGAGTTAATGTACCCTACAAACTTTTATTTGGCTATACAGTTAACATGAAAATATTTTTTTTGAGTAATACAAAATATGGCATAGATTAGTGGGGTACAAATGTCATAACCACATCTACATCTGTTCTCCCACATCTTAATTTATATGTTTTCATTTTCTTGCCCTCCCTTTATTATTGCAGATTTTATTTCCTAATTGGAATAGATTGGAATGGCAGGGAAACCTTGATCTTTAGTCCAGCTATCAAAGAATTGTCGTAAATTTCATATTCCCTTGGCTATCAGGGCCCATCTTTAGAAAGAAGACTTTGAGGTTCCATAAAGAGCACATAAAAATCTGTGAATAAAGATGACTTTCCCATTTACTTTAAGAAATGCCTGGGGGAAGGGTAAATGCCTGCTGAATACTCTCAGCAGCAGTTATGGGGACTGTATGAGTAAAATGTAGTGATTTTCTAGCAGTGAAAACAGCTGCAGGTTTTGATGCTTTTTTTCTTAGTATCAATCCGGTCATATATGTGCTTGTATACCTTTACACCAAAATGTTGGTATAAACTTGTGTAGACCCAGTAACCTGCAGTCGCTTATTCTATGGAAAAAGTCACAACTCAGGATTCATTTTTTTTTTTTATGCTTTGCTCTGCACTTTGGCTCCTAATTAAAGCATTTGTTGTCTAGGAAAAGAATTTTAACTGTAGAAACTCCCACATTTGTTTCAGGTCGGTCTTCTCTCTTTCCCTTTGAAGATGCCTTCCTGGACGACAGTCACGGCGACCAGTCCTTGTCATCTGGCTTAAGTTCTCCCACTCGCTGTCAAAATGGGGAACGAGTAGAACGCTACTCTAGAAAGGTGTTTGTTGGAGGCCTACCTCCTGATATCGATGAAGGTACTATACATTCATGAATGACTTTATAAAGGTCAGGCTTGTTCTTGGTGTGATCTCACCCTGCCGCTCCTCTTCAAAGCAGCTTTAGTGTGCAGGAGAGGAATATATTCGATAGATGGATCAGTAATAGACTGTATTCTGCAGGCCTTTTGTTTATATACGTGTTTATACATAGCAGTCTCCCAACAGCTTCGCATTTCTTAGTTATTAATTTGGGGATAAATTTTAAAATAATAATGAGAGCTAATATTTATGAAACTCTTACTATAAGCCCATTATCGTGCTAAGCGCTTTACATTACCATATCTCATTTAATCCTATGAGGCATATCCTACCCACTCCATTTTATAGATGCAGAAACTGAGGATCAGAGAGAAGGAATTCGTCCCATTTTATGTAGCTAATGGTGCAGTTGGAACTCAAAATCAGTCTGATTCCAGAGCTTTTGCTCTTGTCCATCAGACCATACCATCTCATATTTTAGTATAGGTACCTATTAAATGGAGAACCCCCTTGTGTCTTTAAAGGAATGAAAACTAATTAGAAATTTTCTTAATAATATTTTTGAAATACTACCAATCCAAAAAGTAAGCTTTCCTTTTATGCCTACAGTTAGCACATAGTAGGTTGTCAATAAATATTTGTTGAATGGACAAATGAAACAAAATTGTGACAGAGTGAACTTAAGGGAAAAAAACAGCAACTCTAGTTCTAGTAGGCCTTGGATCTGCAATAAAAATATTGTTAAAACAGAATTGTTTTGCCAGCATTATTCTAGCTATGGCATTTCTTTAATTTATCATGGTTTTCTTTTTTTTTTTCATGATAAGAGAAAAATAATCTCTAAAAATAGTTTTATTTTAGACTAACTGCTTTAAAGTTGTACACAGCTGGAGACTCATTTTCCTCCAAACTATTCTCATAGTAGTGTTAATTTCATCTATAGATTGGATTTTCTTTAAGGCAAAGTTTTTTTGTTTTGTTTTAAAGTTTTATTTATTGTTTTAATTAAAATTTATTGGGGTGACAATGGATAGTAAAATTACATAGGTTTCAAGTTTACGATTCTGTAATATATCATCTATATATCACATTGTGTGTTCAGCACCCAGAGTCAGTTCTCCTTCCATCACCATATATTTGACCCCCTTTACCCTCTTCTACCATCCCCACTGCCCCCTTATCTTCTGGTAACCACCGAACTATTGTAAGGCAAAGTTTTTATCATGGCTGAGAGAGTGGCAACTTAAGCCTGGCTAGAAGCCACATCATATGAGTCAAAAGTCAGAAGGAAAAGATAAATTTATTGAGCTACAACTTTTGAAACATTTTCCTTATATGTGTAGTATGAGAGAAACTTTTTCTTATCACCAAATAGAATTACCGCCTTATTTCCCCTACTCCTGACTAAAAGAATATCTATTTCTAAAATAATCTTAGAGATGAATAATAATAATAATCTAAGGTAAATAATCTTAGAGACTTTAGAGATTATTTCACACAAGTGAAAGCATATTTTAAATATTTTGTGTACTTTTGCCTTTTTCTAAAAAGAGAACATTCCTATTTTTAGAATTTTCCTTTTTCCTTGACAGAGAGATCACCTTAGCTAATGTTTGATTTTTTTTCTTCCAAATTCTTTATATCAAGTTTATTGGCAGTGAAGGGAAATGAATTATAGTTAGAAATACATTCTACATGGTTGAAAGTGAATAACCAAATGTACCTCCCAAACAATGGTATTTCACTTAGTAGGTTTACCTTCTGTAAAAATGCTTTAGAAAATAGCTCTCAAAACATTTTTTGTATAAAAAGATATGTTTTATGCTATTCCATTTGCAATATTTTTTTCTCTTTTGGTAAGATTTCTCCTTTGTTTTATAGATGAGATCACAGCCAGCTTTCGCAGGTTTGGACCTCTAGTCGTTGACTGGCCTCACAAAGCTGAAAGCAAGTCCTATTTTCCTCCTAAAGGTAATGCGCTTTAAATGTCTCCACTGTCTTCATTTAAAATGTCTCCCTGCCTGCCTGTTGGAGAGCTAGCACAATAATTCAATAAAAGGCAGCCTTTTAACTCTTAAAATATCTGTGGACTTCCCCCTCCCCCCCCAAGTAAGAAAACATTTTAACATTGATCATCTTTTTGTGTCTTACTGTTTCTAGTTGGAGTCTATTCCCTCAGGAGCACACTGATTGTTTCATGGTATCTATTTTATTGATAGTGAGATGCTGTGAGTCTGTTGTGAATGAGCCTTGTGCTAACTTTTCATGATTTCAGAGAAAGGGTTTTGAGGAATGTCAGCGATGAGAGAGGAAAAGATTATTTAGAGTCAAATTCTATTTGTGTCCCATAACCCTGTGGTTTCATAGATCTTATAAACCCCAAACGTGGAAAACCTAGTGACTGAAGAATGACATTACATGAAATTACCTTTATCCATGTCTGTATCTTAAGCATGATGATGGGTGGAGAGCAAACTAGCAAAGAACTCTTCACATGACCTTGCTTCCCTTATTTTTGGTAGGACTTTTTGATTATTTATGAAGGTATGACAGTACGTTACTTTGTTCATAGTTTGTCATTTCTGCAGAATCTAGGGATTTTTTCTGGTGATAATAACTCTGGGTGTGTTCCTAGATTTATATAGAAGAGTGTTTTGGGTTAAAGAGGAAGTTTTCTTCTTGTGTTATGTTCTATAAATGTGTTTCAAGGATGTCTTTCATCTCTAAGGAATTGTTTTTTGATATGTATTATTGTGTACCATCACTCACCACTAGAAGATGGAGTCAAAATACTCGTCCTTCCTGTGCCTTGTTACAGGAATCAAATTGTAGCTTAACCTGGAGAAGGCAAGTGGCTTCTTTTGATGTTTGTTTTCTTAGGTTTCTTTGTTGCCTGTGTTTCTCCCCACTGTCTTTATAGCTTTCACTAAATAGAGGGCTGTTTGTTGGCTTTTAACATTCTTCTCTTAGTTCTCTCCAAGAATTTTTAAAGTTTTATATTAATCAGAAAAGAGAAAAATCATCATGCTGATTTATTTCCGTGAAGGAATGTGTTCACCACTTTGTGATGCCTACGACACTATGTGAAGACACATGTTTAAAACACATTTTTAAGAATGCTAATAATCCATTGAATCAGAGTAATGTTATTTCAGTGAATGAATGAGTTCACCACACTGTGCCGCAGGTAATACACTCTGTAAAGTCACATGTAAAACGATGTACTAGTTGCACATGCGAATCAAGACAGTGTTATTTCAATGAGAGAATGTGTCACCACAGTGTGGTTCATGTAACATACTCTGTAAAATGACAGGTATAAGAGATATTTCTAAGAGTACCAGTTGGAAAAAAAACATGCTGGGAAGGTTGTAAAAATAATTCTGGGATAAAAAGTGTCAGATGATTGGGGCCGGCCGAGTGGCACGTTGGTTAGGAGTTGGCTTGGGATGCCAGCTCTGAGCAGCAGGGCCCCGGTTTGGATTCCACATGAGGGCCAGTGATGCTGCGCCCTCTACAGCTAAGATGGTGAACAACAGTTCGACCTGGAGCTGGGCTGGCGTGAGTTGCCGGCGACGGCGCAGGCTGCAGTGGGGCTGCCCGGCAGTGGGCGTGAGCTTTTGTGAGCTGCCATGAGCTGCTGTGAGTGGCCATCCAATGGCCAGCGAGAAACTGCCACACCCGGGAAGAGCGCAATGATAATACCAACATGGGCCAGTGAAGCAACGTCCTCCACAACTAGACTGAAGAACAAAAGGACAGCAACTTGTCTGTTCCCCTTCCCTGAGTCCCCAGCGCTGTTTCAATCCCCCAATTCCCCAATAAAAATCTTTAAAAAAAGTAAAAATGAAGATAAGCATACGAGAATATATGATCATGTCCAAAGAAAATTATCCTAAATCTACCTCTTATCAGATGTAATCACTGTATAAATTTTATTAAATATCCTTCTGATATCTCTTTATAAGTATATACAGTTACATGAAATTTTAAATTTTACATAAATGGGATCACACTATACATGCTGTTTAATAATCTGCATTTTTCCTTCAGCAGTATCAACACCTTTCTATAAGAAACCTATTTAGTTAATGGCCTTATTTTATTTAATCAGTCCTACTGATAATGGACACTTAATTTGCTTCCAGTTTTCTCTCATGGATGATGCTTAATGAATATTCTTGTGCCTTAATCTTTTTGCTCTTTTAGTATAAAAGTTACCTCTTAGTGTGAATTGTCAGAAGTCTGAGGTACATGTTTATACATATTGCCAAGTTGCCCTTAAGAAAGGTCATACATATTTTATGTTCCCACTAATAGTACCTCATTTACAAAACTCAGTTTTATTGAGGGTCTGAGGATAGGGCTCTTTTTCAATCTTTGAGAATCTGGTGATTAAAATAACATATTTTGGGGGGCATTTTCCCCCACTTTACTGGTCATTTGAATTTATTTTACCTTTTTACATTGACATCTCATTTCTGTCTGGAATTTGTAATGGAATTAAACGTAAGAAAAGATTCAGCTTTATTTTTCTAGGTAGCATTCCAGTTTGTCCCAACAGTCACTTATTGACTATTCTATTTTCTCCTCATTGATTTGAATCATTAGACTGAAGTATTGATTGGCTTCTTCTGTTTCTCAATGGAATGCACAAGTTTCTCTGGAACTGCTCTGTCCAGTATCAAAGCCACTAGTCACATGTAGCTAGTGAGCACTTGAAATGTGACTAATTGAAATTGAGATATGCTATAAGTATAAAATACACACTGGATTTTAAAGACTTGGTCTTAAAAATGATAAAAGATCTCAGTAATTTTGTTTACATGTTAAAATGATAATTTTTAGATATATTGGATTAAATAAAATACATTAAAATTAACCTCATCTGTTTCTTTTTACCTTTTAAATTTATTGGGTTGTCGGAAAAATGATGACGTGTTTTTTCTATGTTTTTCGTTGCAAAAATGCATCGTGACTTTTCCGACAACCAATAGCTATTGGAAATTTTTAAATTATATGTGTGACGCATATGTCCATTGGACAGCATTCCTCCAGAACAGGGATCGGCAAGCTACCTATTTTTGTGTGGCCCAGAAGCTAAGAATGGTTTTTATATTTTTCAGGGTTGTAAAAACACACACACAAAGCAGAATATGTAACAGACTATATGTGGCCCTCTAATCTCTTTGTTGAAAGTCTGTTGACTCCTGCTCTAAAACAGCCCAGAGAATTGCTCTTTTAGCTTCTGAGACATCCAGTGACAAAGGAGGCACTTTATTTCAGAAGTCTATATATTTGCAGACCTAGCTAATTATTAAATTCTGTTCTTCTATTGAGTCACATGCTTCCCTGCAACCTTTACCCATTGGTCAATTGTGTCCTTTAAAGGACTATCAGATTTTCTTTAAGTCTTCTCTTTTCCAAGCTAAACATTTTCACTTCTCTTAATCATATCTTACTCCTTAAGGTTTCTGGACCACCATTCTTCTTGTCTGCCTATTCTGTATATATGTCACATTTACAATATCCTACTTAAATTTGTTACTGAAATTGGAGAGAGAACATTTGGGTTGGTCTGAGCAGTACAGAGTTTAGCAGCTCTATAAACTCCATGGTTTTTGGTATCACTCCTATGTAACAGCTTCAGAATATAGAACTGTAGAGCTGGTGCCTTTATTTTACACTGAGGTTAAGTGCTGAGATGGACCCGTGAAGGCCAGGCCAAGAAGAGAATCTGCATCCCCAGAGTCTGGTCCTCAGGCTTGTATTACCTTTCTGGTGATCGGGGTCAAGGAGGAGCAATAATTATTATGCTGTTGATTCCTTTGTGTTTTGCTCTTAGCTAAAGTCTGAAGGTTGACCCATTTGGGGAGGACCTAAAGAAACTTCATGTTATTCCAAGATTGAAGTTAACTTTGAGAATCCATGCCCATTGCTTTGAATGCTGGGAACATCTAAGTAGTTCATCCTAAACTATTTTGTGCCTTCTTAATGCCCCCTTGTGCTGTTAATACTTTTCCTTACATTCCTTAGGTTTTAATTCAGGTTTGGGCCTTCTTGGTAATGCCCCTCTTTCCGATTGTGCTTTTCTTTAGGTCACCTCAGGTTGGCCATTAGGTACAGTTTGTTTTGCCATACATTTCAGGCTTCTGTGTAAATAGAGAGGAAAACATGAACCGTACACTACTGAGCTCTTTGACCTTTTTCTCAGAAAGTGTATCCTAATAAAAGAAACAGAATCATTCATTCATCTGTCAGAATGTGGAGAGTAGGGTTTGTAAAACCATCAGCATTTCAAAGGAGGGCTTAAAATCCACATAGAGAAACAGTGGCTAGGCACATCAGCTGTCTCCTTAAGTGTTATTAGGTGAGCAGAATGGGAGGTGATGGAGACTGGGGCTCTCTTCAGCACTAGGGCCACTGAGGCATTTGACCAACCATTCGAGGATATGCAGAAACCTCTGGAGCACTGTCTGCGGGCCATGAGCAGGCAGTTGCTTGGTGTTCTCCAGTATGCCACTGAGAACATGGGAGGCATGGGAAGGCATGGAAGTCAGAGTGTGTGCCTTCATGATTTGTTCTCAGACCTTATGAGCTTACGGTCCTGTGGGGGAGATAAGAAAATAGTCAAATGGTCACAAAATAAACACAATTGCAAACTGTGATAGTTCTCTAAAGGAAAAATAGAGAGTGCAGCAAGCGAGTTTAAAAAGGAGATATCAGTTTAGATTGGGAATATGGAAAGAGCTTCTCTGAGATAACAGTAGTTAAGCAGACCTGAAAATTGAAGAGTTAGCTAGAAAATGTAAGGAAGCAAGTTCCAAGTAGAGGATTACCATATGGGAAGTACTGAGTATGAAAAGGGCGTTAGTCCCTTTGAAGAAATGAAGGAAATGTGGTGGGAATGTTAATGAGGGAAGAGAAAACAGTACAGAAGGAAGAGCCTTGAAGAAGTAGGATTTTTTTTT